ACAACGCTCCTCAACAAAGTGTCAACAGGCAGAAGAGCTGGCTGAGAAATTGACTGGAGACGAAAGAATGACCAAAGGACCGTTTATTTATTTAAAGGCCAACACCAGCCAAATGTTTTTTGTTTGGTATAATTAGGAGAAGGGTTTTTTATTGCTGCATGAACCCATCAAGGAGATTTGCCTCCTTAATAAAAAAAATAATAAAGCACATGCAATTGCTACATAAGCCATATTGTGTTTTATTGTAATTAAAAATTGGCTTTCCTTTTCATTCTGCAGTGCTGTAATTTTCTGTAAAATTGTAACATGGCAACTTGGAGGCTTTCTGTACACTATTGATGTCATTTCCTGCTTGAGTGATTGGCTCACTGATTTTCTCAAGTGTGCACTAAGATATGAGAAAGATTTTAGTCACCCCCTGCAATAAGAATTTCATTTTTGGTGAGATACTCAACTAGGGGAGATATTCAATACTAAGGGTTAATTACTTCTAAAAAGATGTTGACACTTCAGCTTTCTCATCAGACCAGGAATGCCATGTTAACTAAGCAGATAGACCTCTTTCAGGTCTATCTGCGCCACGCATGCCAATTTCTATTTCAGAGTAAAATAGAAACTAGTGCAGGGTCAACACCTAATTACCAGAGTGAATGGGGCAGTTTACCATACAGAAAACTGCCACAGATCCCCACCAGCTCAAAGCTGGCATATGAGAAGTGAGTTGTCAGTAGACAGCTCCACAATTCTCTATCTGCCCTTGTACTGATTACATTACATTAGGAGATCCTGAAGGGTTAACAATCCTCCTTCTCCTTCTGGCTGAGCTGAGCAGGAGGCAGGAATGGGCAGAGAAATAGGAGCATGCATTTACAGCCCACTTCTCTGTGTTGTGTCTGTCATAGACATGACAGAACAGAGAACTGATTGCTACTAATTAACAAAGGGCTTGAGTCACTTTTGTTGATTAGGAGCATTATTTTCTCCCTTTTTTATGTTTAAAAGAAGGGTGCAAGAATTATGCTTGCACCACTCTTTGCTAATTCTCAACCGAGAGTGCACCAGGTGATTAAAATGAAGCAAACCCTCCCATTTAGAATCAGTCTGCAAAAGACATGGTGGAAAAACAGCTATTCTTCAGCGCAAAAACAGGTAGGAATCTGCAACGAAGTTTGTTAAAATCCTGGCAATGTACATTGATCACAAACGAAGTTACACTTTAACCGCTTCCCGCCCGCAATGTACTGCGGCTGAGCAGCAGCTGCAGGCAAAGCGATGTACCCGTACGTTGCTCTGGCAGTACTAACACAAGGGGGCACTGAGCGCCCAAACAGGCGTGCTGCGCTCCCCCCACGACTGCTGTGTCCGGTAGACACAGCAGAATGTTGATCCCAGTGAACGGAACCTGGTGATCCTGTGATTGCTATGCGATCACCAGCATTTTGCAGGCGAGCAGCAACTCGTGTTGCTTCCTGTTTTGGGGTGTGAACGCGCCTGCATTCCCCGCTGCCCCCCCCCCCCCCCCCGGTCAGTCAGGGGAGAGAAGAGAGAACAAGGCACCAAGTAAAAGCATTACATTTTACACACACACATTAGATTAGCACATTTAACCCTTTAATCGACCCTATTAACCCTTTGATTGCCCCGTCACCCAAACAGTGCCATTAGTACAGTGTCAGTATTTAAATGTTTCACTGATCACTGTATTCCTGCCACTAGCGACATCAGATAACGTCAGGGTCAGTAAGCGCTCCACCCAGCCAGGGTCATTAGATTGCCCGCACACTATCACACTCACGCTATAGGTCGCTGAACACCCCCATTACTAGTATAGTGCTTGTACAGATCAATATAATGATCATGAACAGAACTATACTAGTGCCTCCTTTGTATAGTGCCCCCAAAAATGCAGCAGGAACAGCCCCGTTCCCTGCCAACACTAGTGTTTAGCCCCTCCGCTGTTTTTCACAGAAGATTTGTACCAATTGATTTTGGCTAAGGCAATTTATATGCACAACAATACATCACCCTCCACCCAAATTCAGCTCTTGCCAGACAATTTGCATGAAAATCTATCATGGTTTCTGAATGTAAAAATTTTGGGTCTAAACCTCTACATGGGCATTCCAAAAAAGAATGAATTGCAGTCATATTGGTCTACAGACCTGATTCATCATATGCTCATGTTCTCTGCTGTTATATATATGCCCAACATGGACCAGCAATATACTGGTACGTCGTTGGACTATGAGTGGTTATACCGGATGGTGCCTGCAGCTACAGGCATAATCCTGGTATTGTTTTTTTCAGCTGGCAGTCAACTTTCATTTAAAAGCAATCCTAGTGGCCGATTATCTGCTGAATTGTTTTACAAGCAGTGGGAAGGGACATCCCCCTCCTGCTGCTTTCCCCAGTTTTCTTGGTCTTTCCTGTCCCACAGGGAAATCTGAGAATACAGCTGGCAGATCCACTGGCTGACTATAGAGCTGATCAGAGACCAGAGTGACTCCAATCATCTCTATAGTCTAAGAAATCGCAAGCTACGAGCATTTCATCACTTTAGTTTCACAGGATGTAAAAAGCACCATTTGTAAATTGGGAAAGCATCTGATCACACCGATCTCAGATGATGTAAGGGCAGAGAAGATATCTAGAGTCTAATAGACCCCAGATTTCTCAATAAGAATACCTGTCAATGCCTATTGCAGTCAGAGGGGATATTTACATTCCCTGTGATAGCAATAAAAGTGATAAAAAAAAAAATGGAAGAAAGGGACATTGTAAAAATAATTTTAAAAAATCATAATAACGAAAAAAAGAACAAAAAAGCACCCTGGCTCACCTGCGCACGCCAGCGTTGACCCTGTGACAGTATGTAAACAGCGGTTGCACCATGCATGTGAGGTATCACCGTGAACGTCAGATCAAAGGCATTAATTCTAGCACTAGACCCCCTGTTTAAATATAAATTGGTGACCTATAAAAGCTTTTAAAGCATCGCCTATCGATAATAAAAATGTATGTACTTTTATTGCCTTTGCACCAGCATACGCAATTTTAAAGCGTGTCATGTTTGGTATCTATTTACTCAGCGTAATATTATCTTCTATATTTTATCAAACAATTTGGCAATATATTGTATTTTTTTTGTGCATTAAAATTCTAAAAAGTGTATTTCCAAAAGATTGGCGTTTGAAAAATCGCTGCGCAAATACTGTGTGACGTAAAAAATGTCAACACCCACCGTTTTATTCTATAGGACCTCTGCTTTAAAAAAAATATATAATGTTTGCAAGTTCAAAGTAATTTTCTAGCAAAAAAAGTTTTTTCATGTGAACAAACTGTCAGAAAAAGCTTGTTCTTCAAGAGTGGGTGATGTATGGTATAAGCTTCTAATGCTAGTAGCTACCCCCCCCCCCCCCCTCCAAATGACCCCTTTTTGGAAAGTAGACACTCCAAGGTATTTACTAAGAGGCATGGTGAGTATTTTACAGATCTCATTTGTTGCCACGTTTTTGGAAAACAAAAATGTATTTTTTCATTTTAAAAACCCTGTGACAAAAATTATATCTGTATCTGCAAAATACTCACCATGCCTCTTATCAAATTCCTTGGGGTGTCATTTGGGGGGGGGGGGTGTTTGTACTATCCTGGCATTTTAGAGCCTCCGAAACTGTGATAGGTAGTGGGGACGTGAAATGAGGAAATATGCCCTTCGAAAGGCTGGAGGTAGTCATTGGATTTTGCGGGCCTGTATGTAGCTAGGCTGCCAAAAAGTCTCTCACATGTGGTATCCCCATACTTAGGAGAAGTAGAAGAATGTGTTTTGGGGTGTTTTTCCACATATACCCATGGCATGCATGAGCAATATATCATTAAAGTGACAACTTTGTGTTAAAAAAAAAAAACAGACAAAAAAATTGTCATTTTCAAAAAATGTGTGGCAAAAAATAAAATGTTCAGTGGACTCAACATGCCTCTCTGAAAAATCCTTGGGGTGTCTACTATACAAATTTGGGGGGGGGGGTTGTACTGCCCTGGCATTTTAGCACCTCAAGAAATGTGATAGGCACTCAGAAAGTAAAACCTATGTAAATTCCAATATATATACACCATAGTTTGTAGACGCTATAACTTTTACACAAACCAATATACATATATTGAGATTTTTTTTTTTTACCAAAGACGTGTAGCAGAATACATTTTGTCTTAAATTTATAACTAACTGAGTTTTTTGGATTTTTTTTAACCAAGAGTGAAAAATATAGTTTTTTTTTCAAAATTTTCGGTCTTTTTTTGTTTATAATGTAAAAAGTAAAAACCGCAGAGGTGATAAAATACCACCAAAAGAAATCTCTATTTGTGTGAAAAAAAATGACATGAATTTTGTTTGGGTATAGCATTGCATGACCGCACAATTAAAATAGCGCAGTGCTGAACAGCAAAAAATTGCATGGTCATAAAGGGGGCTAAATCCTCTGCAGGGCAAGTGGTTAAAGCGAACCGTCACTCTCTCAATTAACATTGACTAATTGTAATCCTTATGCTGGTAGCATTAGTAAATAGATAAGAAAATATATCACATCTGCTAATTTTAAACATTTTTTTTCTTCAATTGCTTCCTGGTTTCGAGGCCTAGGCAAATTATGTCACACATCCCAGGAGTCTTCAGCAGGGGAGGAGGGGCTATTTCAGCTAAGCACACCCTCCAGCCTGCATACCTGGGGCAAGGGCAGAGGGATTGCAAGAAGTAAAGCTGAATGAATCATTTGCCATTACTCAAGATGACTACAGCCATAAATGCCAAGGGGATGTTTTTCAAACAGCAAAATAAAGCATGGGGACATGAGGACATGGATGGATGGGGGAGTTTGCTTTGAATATTAAAAATGAATTACTGTATTTTTCGCTCCATAAGACGCACCTGACCATAAGACGCACCTAGGTTTTAGAGGAGAAAAACAAGAAAAAAAATATTCTGAACCAATGGACTGCAGACACAGTACAGGGTATGACCATAGACTGCGGACACAGTACAGGAGATGACCAGAGACTGCAGACACAGTACAGGAGATGACCAGAGACTGCAGACACAGTACAGGGGATGACCAGAGACTGCGGACACAGTACAGGGGATGACCAGAGACTGCGGACACAGTACAGGAGATGGCCAGAGACTGCGGACACAGTACAGGGGATGGCCAGAGACTGCGGACATAGGACAGGAGATGGCCAGAGACTGCGGGCACAGTACAGGGGAGGGCCAGAGACTGCGGACACAGTACAGGAGATGGCCAGAGACTGCGGACACAGTACAGGAGATGGCCAGAGACTGCGGACACAGTACAGGAGATGACCAGAGACTGCGGACACAGTACAGGGGATGACCAGAGACTGCGGGCACAGTACAGGGAATGACCAGAGACTGCGGACACAGTACAGGGAATGACCAGAGACTGCGGACACAGTACAGGGAATGACCAGAGACTGCGGACACAGTACAGGAGATGACCAGAGACTGCGGCATAGTACAGGAGATGACCAGAGACTGCGGACACAGTACAGGGAATGACCAGAGACTGCGGACACAGTACAGGGAATGACCAGAGACTGCGGACACAGTACAGAGAATGACCAGAGACTGCGGACACAGTACAGGGAATGACCAGAGACTGAGGACACAGTACAGGGAATGACCAGAGACTGCGGACACAGTACAGGGAATGACCAGAGACTGCGGACATAGTACAGAAGACCAGAGACTGCAGACAGTGCAGGGGATGACCAGAGACTGCAGACAGTACTGCAAGTAAAGGAGATTACCAGAGACTGCGGACCTTTGGGGAGGGAGGGGGAGCGGGTACCTGAATTTGACAGGTACCTGCTCCCACTTCCGCGAAGTTGTCCTTCCTTCTTCTTCCAGCGGCGGCTTCTGTGACAGCCGGGTGCCCACTGCGCATGCGCAAGAAGCGCCGCGCTTTGTGAATGGCCCAGAACTTTCTGGGACCTGTCATGTGTCCCAGAAGACACTGGACCATTCACAAAGTGCGGCGCTTCTCACACATGCGCAGTGGGCACCCGGCTGTCACAGAAGGGAAGACTGCAGCGCTGGAGCGAGGAACTGGTAAGGTCCTGCAGGAGAGAAGAGCTGAGCGGCTGGCCCGATATTCTGACAAAGTGGCGGCAGAAATACCGGACCGTCCGCTTTACATTTGCTCCATAAGACGCACTGACATTTTCCCCCCTTTTTTGGGGGGAAAAAAGTGCGTCTTATGGAGCGAAAAATACGGTAAATAGCGTTTTTGGTTTGTGGTGCTCAAATGCAGTGTAGTTTCACTTTAAGTCCATGAATGGGCTGGCAATACACATCAACAGGCAAGGTAACCTTTATTTACAATGCATAATGTCCATAAGGAGAAAAATGCATGTGCACTAATGCGCCGATCAACAAGGATCTTGGCTGGCTGGGACATATAGTGCAGCAAAGAGTAAGCATGGCAGCTCTCCACAAATTCCGCTGGGTGGCAGAATATAATCTATACGAAAACCAAATACAGCACGGAGCGCACATCCACCCTAGTGGAACTCCGTTTATTTAAATTGGTAAAAAGACAAAAAAAAAATTGCAGTCACATTGTACAATACTGTTCAGGCAGGGGCGGACTGACCATTTGGAAACTCGGGCACTGCCCGAGGGCCTGGGGTCAGTAGGGGGCCCCATGAGATACCCCTGGTACCTTTTTCATAGGCTTTTTTGAGTTTGGGCAAGGACACAGGGGCCCCATGATCCCCTATTGCCCAGGGGGCCCCATGAGTTGTCAGTCCGCCCCTGTGTTCAGGTGACTTGATAAAGGAGGCCACGCCTCCGAAATACCTCATCATAGCAACCTAAAGGAAGTGATGTCAGATGCTAACCAGAAGTTGCATGGTGGCCATTTTGGATGAGGTCCGTTCCATAGAAACTGTATACCAAACACTGATGTGCATCCCATGCTTGTAAGCATTTTACAATTAATAAATCTGATGGTTGTGATTTGCTATGCGAAGTTTGCCCATTCTGTTTTGATTTACACACTGGCATTGTGGTGGGACAAGAGCGATGTTGGTCTGGAAGGAGTTTATCTGCTCAAGGCTTTTTTTCTATACAGTCTGGTAAGGTGCATGGACTGTGAGGTGGTGGATCACTTTATTGTTTTATTCATACTGGTGGTCACGTATTGGAAATAAAGGGAACACAGAATTGCATGATATGAAATCTATTTGTTAACAGTATTACACTATATTTCTTAAATCTCTTGGAGGGTGTGATTATCCACAAGGAGGATTATTAGTGGAAGAGTCCATGCATTGGAAATTTATATATAAAGCAAGCGAGGCATACCCAGAGGGTAAGAGTAGGAATTACACATATTATATGCTGACACTTGGTGGAGTTTTTGGCATGGTTTTGAGCACTTTTTGTGAGTGTAATTTATTATAGTTTATTTTATGTGATAAAGGTAATGCACTATGTGCGGTTTATACACATTTTTTTAGGATTATAAAAGGAGGAGGATGATATCACTTGGAAGATTTGAAAATTGAGCACCTAGTGAGCCAGGATGAAATGAAATATCACTTATGGTTGTAAATTGAGGACGTTTATTGATTGGACGCTGAGGAAGAGTTGATATTTAGTTTATGTGCCTTAACTGTTAGCATGGTCAATCCATTTTATGATTCAGCACCAAAAAAACTCATTTCTATACTGTTTTTTTTCACCAGTACATAGTGTAACTCTAGTACCCAGAAAATGCAGTCTCTTTGTAGATGCAATTCCTGGAAAGAGAATTCAGCCATTCAAGGTTCTAAGAAAGGCGATTAGACGACTTTGCGACTTGAAGACAAGGTTGTCATTAAAATGCGAGCTGATACCCCATTACATGCACAAAACTACAAGGTTTTATCTACAGCGTGTACTGATCATGAGCACAGGTTCAATGTATCCATGACAACCTGCTCAAGTAGGGTGAGGATGGTTTATACGCCATACTGAATCTATTTTCTTTCTTTTGAGTTTAGGACACCGTTCACAAGCTTTGTTGTAAAATCTCCTGAGGAGGTTCTCTTCATAGAAAATGTTTATCTATTTGTACATGTCAAGGATACACTGATACTCAGAGATTTTGCAATTTAAGTCAAATTGGAAACTCCTCTCAAATTACTCTTATTTAATTTTTACATTTTGGATAGAGTAGAATTATAACCCGTCAGTTTTTTCTTTTGTATTTGATAGTCAAAACCAGAACTGTGAGGAAACCCCTCCAAAGTGAGGAAATCCCTGGTTGTCATCAGCCACCTGAACTAGTGTTCACATTGGAAGATTTCCCCTCTGTAACATCCTTTTGGTAAGCTAGATAGGAATTTTGTTGGTTATAGGCTAGGTAGCAGCCTGAGATCAGTCAGCCTGGGAGTAAGGTAGTGAGTTCACCTCAGGACAGGTTGATAGGCTCTACAGGTCAGGGCTTCTGGAGCCTAACCACCCTTCCAGAAACCTAGAGAACTTTCTGGATTAGGGGCGGTGGAGAGGAAGAGGCCCAGAGCTGCATGTTTGAGGGACCCTGGCCAATCCCCAGGCAGGAGGCCAGGCATGGTGTCCAAAGACAGCCCTTAAATGTGACAGAGCCTGGAGAGCAGTGAGCAGAGTCAGTTGGAAGATGGATTGAGAGAAGGCTGGATTCTGGAGCCTGAGAGGGGGCTCCAGGGAGGGGAGCCTACCTACAGGCAGAATGCTGGAAAGGAGAATCTTCTCTGCCCAAGGTCTCTTGGGGAGGACATCCGGAGCAGCAGGAACAGGAGCCAGCCAAGAAAAAGGTGTGAAAGCAGCTACCAACTCACCATGCTGACAAGACAGAACAGTGCGAGTACTACTACATCCCATGGGACAGATAAAGGGAGAGGGCGGTCAGGTGCAATACACAACTAGTTCTCATTTGGGACTACTTAACTGACAGATCTTGGAATCCCTTGCCCAGGAATACCCTCAGTGCAGCCCGGTGAAGAGGAAGGATTCATCTGTGGTCTGAGGAGGTACACAAGAGGACTTCAGTGTTCCTTAACAGGGACAGTTGCTATTTTTGATCCACATTTTTGTACAGTATTGTTGCTAAGAAGTTTGTCCTATACCCCATCCAAGTTGTTAACCCTTTAATAAAAACAACTAAAAACCAGATCAAGAACTGTTTACCGACTCTGAATGTACAAGAAAAATGCATGTTGCTTTGCCTTGCAGAGCTTAGGAGGACCCAAAACAAATTAAGCAACCCTCAAAGGGGTAGTGCTACACCTCTATTCCTGCTCCAGCAAAAACCCAAAATTTGGGATTTTCTTTTATTTTCACTATCAATGATAATGGTAACAGGACAAATACAGAGGGTGAATTTTCCAATGGGAGAACATACAGCAATGTAAACCTGCAATTTTTTTTAAAATCTAATCCCTCTCCAACCTATCTAAAAATAAAAACCTTTCAGAAATAGAACTTTATTGTCATCAATTAAAAAATTGGAAAGTGAATAAACAGAAGAAAAATCTAAATCAAATCAACATTTGATGTGACCACCCTTTGCCTTTAAAACAGCATCATTTGTTCAATTCTTCTAGGTACACTTGCACACAGTTTTTGAAGGAACTTGGCAGGTAGGTTGTTCCAAACATCTTGAACTAACCACAGACCTTCTGACTCTTCATGTATTCCCAGGCAGACTCCATGATAGTGAGAACAAGGTTTTGGGAGGGCCAAACCATCACTTCAAGGACTCCTTGTTCTTCTGTATGCTGAAGATTGTTCTAAATGACATTGGCTGCATATTTGGAGTCATTTTCTTGCTACAGAATAAATTTGGGGCCAGTCACATGCCTCCATGATTGATAAGTATCTGCCTGTATCTCTCAGCATTGAGGACACCATTGATCCTGACCAAATCTCTAACTTAATTTGCATTTCAACCTCAAACTTGCAAGTAACCTCCACCATGCTTCACTGCTGCCTGCAAAAACTAATTACTGTAACTCTCTCCAGCCCTTCATGAACAAACTGCCTCCTGCTACAGCCAAATATTTCATATTTTGACTCATCAGTCCAGAGCACCTGCTGACATTTTTATGCACCCCAGTTCCTATGTTTTCATGCATATGACATGGAAACAAGATTAAGTGACTCAGGTATGCATGAAAACATAGGAACTGGGGTGCATAAAAATGGCAACAGGTGACCTGGACTGTAAGTCAAAATGTGAAATATTTGGCTGTAGCAAAAAGCAGTTTGTTTGCGAAGGGCTGGAAAGTGGTAAAAGCGGTCTTGTACTACCTGCGGTCTTGTGCCACTTCCCTCTCTGTGGGCTACACAAGAGCTGGTAAAAATGAGTGTGACCAAATGGCCTGCATGCCAAGGGAATCAAATTCAGCACTATTCAGAAAATAAACTCTAGCTTTCTGGACCCTTTTTATTTCTTTCTAGAAAAAAAATAAAAAAAAGACAAAAACAGATTTTAAACATAGCATTATTTTTTTCATCACAGAATTCAATATTATAGCATTCAGAAACTCAGTTTTCACTCCTTTTCAGTTTTTGTTCTACATAAGGGGGTTCAAGTGTAAATTTGTGTGCGGAGTAGCTGCCTACTCATGTTATCATCCACCTCTGAACAGTAGAAAGCCATCTGTCATGTGTTTGTATTATCCTTACCAACTGAGATGCAGAATTTTTTGATGCTCTTCGGCTCAGTACAAAGGGTACCTTCCTTTAATGCTGCTTAGGTGACTCCTGCATAGGTCCCAATTTTACTGCCATGAGTGC